TAAACAGGGGGGGGGGGGGATTGCCTTCTTTTGGATCAACAGCAAAAAAAATGATGTGAGTAAGGCTGAACTTGATGGACACATGTCTCTTTTTAGCCTATGTAACTATCTAACTATATTCCTGCAAAGCATTTGGGGGGTGGATGTGCAATTTTGAAAGTAGGGTCTTGGATCTCCTTATTGATGTTTTGGTATTTTGATACTAAGTAGTGAGTACTTTTAAGTACTTTTGAAAAGGTGTCTTTTGAAGATTTTTTACAAAGTTTTGCAGACTTAGATTTTATTACATTTATTTTGTTCTGTTAGATTAGATTAACAGGTGTAAATATTGATAGTCTTTTACATATTTAGATTGATTTTCACTACTGTAGCATCAGTTTATGTTTTCTTTTTTTTTCATTTATGTTAGCTTCGTTTTTTTTCACATATTCGCAAATATATCTGAAAATCTTAATAAAGGTAATGTAATAAGGAAATACAACAATGCACTTCTTTTCTATTAAAACTGATGTTTACTCTCAAAGCACACAAGTTTCACAACACATAACCGACAAGTTATCCTTTTGTATATCTAATCTAATTCTGGTTCCCAACTCCACGGCTCAGTGTTATCGTTTGGCTTCACAAAAATACTGGTCTCTGGGGAATGCATGCTTAGAGCAAAGTGTAGCACAACATTACGAGCTGCCAACAGACAGCCCTCGTTTCTCATTCCCTGTCCATGGTGCTGATAAGACATATTGCACATTTAAAGTCACAAACTTCTCTCCAACCCCAGCAAAGTCAGCCTCAAGATATAAAGTCATTCTCTTCCTAATCTATCTTCTTGCTTATTAGGCCAGTCGACATACAATATCAGACCTGCTGAGACAGAATCTGTAGCTGAATATTTGAAAGTTTTCCTTTTTTGTATGCACCAGAGGTTGATAACCATAATGCTAAATGGTTTTATTTTAATGCTTAAAGGATAATTGCAACTTGCAGAAGAGGAGATGATGGAAATCAAATAAGAAATGTGATTTTCTTTAGGATTCTACGTTCAGACTACCTTAGCTGTGCTCCTTTGTAAATGTATCACAATCACCAAAAGCTTGGTGAAGATCCCATTACCAACAGAAATGTTGCTGTCTGCATGAGTGGTTGATACCTTTTCAATTGGTTTCTTCTTTTCTGAACAGATTTATACTATGGGGAGTGGATAGCACAGGCCGACGTTCAGACCCAAGCCAGGTGACAGTCAAAATGCCTTGCCCAGAGGTGGATGACGTTAAATCTCAAGGTAATTGTTAGTTCCCCAGTATGATCATCTAAACCACAATGTTCACAATTAAATAATCAAGGCTCCAATCTATCTGTGTGTTATGACCCATGGTTTGTGATGTATTTCTGATATTTTCAATGTTTGCCTCGATTCATGAGGACAGGGTGAGAGAAATGTGCTTAATTTACATAAATATTTACGCCTCATGAAATTCTTCCTAAAAGCCTAAAACCATTGTAGCTACAGAAGCAAATGAATTAGTGTTTCTAATTAATTAAATGTTATAAATTGCTGGAATTTTCTTTCCTTGGAAAAAATAACCCTTATTGCTATACTCGTTAAAGAGGACCCTGCAGTTAGCCTGTTTTGGCAAACCAATTAAACGTAATTAAGGCCAAACTTAACAACTGTTCAAGATGATAAGAATATTTTAAATGGATTATTGCCCCATCTTTCTGTTCTTCCTCGAACCGAAGTATAGTACTTTTAATTCTATCTTGAAAAAATAATGAGTTTGGATAATTGGAACTAATTAGAGTGGCCTTATGTAACCTTCCAATGCACTGTAGTTATTATTTTGCATTTAAGTCAACAAATGAATGTGCAACAATAGCAAGTAAATTATATAAATGTCACTGTTCCATATACAATTCTTTAAAGTGACTTACTTTATGCATCCCCAGAGGTAGCTGACAAAATCTACAACCTGTTTAATGGTTACACCAGTGGCAAAGAGCAGCAGACAGCTTATAACACTCTACTAGAATTGGGATCGCCCAACCTTCAACGTGTACGTTACCACTACAACCTGCATTTCCAGAGCTTTGGGGAGTTTACCTGGCGCTGTGAAGATGAGCTTGGACCAAGGTATACTATACACTTCATAACTACTTTGTTGAGATGTATTTAATGTTTTTCAGGCCAACTAGATATCTGGTTACTGCAAAAATTAGCACTAATCACCTTTTGTGGCTTTGAACCTTCCTTCCTTCATTGTACTACTGCTCCATGGGCCAGTAGGCACAGAGGTCTCTAACTCCTTAAAGGGACTTTGTAAGGAACTCTCCAGGAACCATAACAACTTCATCAAAATTAAGTTGGTATGTTGCCAGGAGGTACATGTTGTTGGATGAGCTTTGGGTATTAAACCATTCACAAGTGGTTTAATCCCAAGTCTCCATTCAATTATGTTGTTATGGTTCCCTTTGTGTTTCTTTAAGGCATGCAGAACATGTAGCAGGGGCATGGAATTGCATCACAGGAGTAGCCAAAACTAATGCTTCTCGGGCTACACGGCCTTACTTATAGGAATTTAGCATTTTGGCTTAATTCCATATGCCTGCTTGCAAGAATACTAATAACTTTAGCATCAGGACTCGTGGACCACAGCGTTTTGTGTTTGTTCCAGTATATCTTAACATATCATTTTCTTTTGCTGTGCATACAAGGCAGCACTTGTTCTTGCAAGCTTATCTTATCTTTCTTTGAAGAAGTAGGTGAGGAAGTTAGGCCACAGTGTAAGAAGCTGTTTTTCTCATTCAGATGCATTCTTGCATCTTTGATGCCCGGAGTGCCCATCTAACTGATGTTACAACAATGGAAACACAGTTTTTGGTTTAGGATTAAGTGTAGAAAAATACAAATCTAAATGTAGGAACACATGAATTGTTCAGGTTTTGTTGGTCATAAATATTTATTTATAATTGTCCTTTTATGTCTATCTCTCCTTGGCTCTTCCAGAAAGGCGAGTTTGGTGCTCTCTCAACTGGATATGTTAAGTCCCTGGTGTAGCCATCTCCTTAGTGAACCTCGGGTCAGCCTGCGTCGATCTTCACTGAGATACCTGGCTTGTCGTTACAGTGAAGTCAAAACTAGAGCATTAAACTGGACCGAACTGAGCCGTGACATGCGAAAGAACTGTGAGGAGCAAATGCTTGTTGTGTTGAGCAATGATTATGGAGATAGTAAGGAAAACTGACCAAAAATCCTGGTGCTACAGCTAGTACCAGGTACAGAATATGGATGGATGGAAAGCAGGTGAGAAGATTTAAGAGAAAAAAAATTGCTGGACTGGCCCAACACTGAACCCTCACCTTTAACAAGAACAGTTTGCTATCACCTGGTAGGCTTCTAAAATTAGGGTTGTTGAAAACAATTTGATGAAAGAAACAATTCAAACATCCAAAACAAAAACTGGATGTCCATAATCTCCTATATCCTACAGTATTTAAACTACAGCTCTTCTTATTCTGGTTATACGTATTTAAATGGTTACATCAAATGCCACTACTCTATCTAATGGATATGTGGAACCCTTTCACTGCCATAGGGGACTGTAAGAAAAACCCCTACGGAAGCGAGAGAAATATAGTGAAAACTATAGAAAATAGTATATAGTTTCATCCACAGCACAAGATAGTAACAGTAATCGGAGTAGCCAAAATAGTTAGAGATTAGTTATTCACCATACATTAGGTGAGTGGGTGTCCATTCCTTGGTCTTCTTACACTAGTATAATGTACGTAATCTAAGGCTTTTGTTCCAGTCTAAGATATGGCAATATTGGCTCTGCTATCAATTTGCTTGCTCCCTACCTATACTAGTATGGGAGCCACAGAGCGGTTCACATAGTGCCTGATTCTCATGGGGGAGAGTTTATTTATCCATGTCTTCCAGATTTAAAACTGGAATAACAAACAGCTTCAAGTTTGGTGGCAGAAGGGGATGCAGATTCTATCTCACAACTTACTTCAGCTCAATAATCTAATACTGACCTAGATAAGTGTTAATGTGCACTTATTTTTTACTGTAAAGCCTTCATATCTTTATTGTGTATTCTTTAGTTCTTTTAGCTATCTCCTATCTTTAACCCCTTAAGGACCAAACTTCTGGAATAAAAGGGAATCATGACATGTCGCACATGTCATGTGTCCTTAAGGGGTTAAAGAACTTAGATTTTTGCTGAAACACATACTCATAAGTGACAAGCTGAAATTCTACAAGATCAATAATTTGTGACTTTATATAATAATATTCTGGGATTTAAATCGACAATACATAGCATAAAGAAAAAAAACATATAATTAAAAAAAAATGTGTTCAAGAAGGAATATCACTGAGGAATGTCTCTTATTGGCCTTTGAAGATGGTGTTTCTCAGGAGCAGACTGTTTTTGTCTTGAGGCAGGATTAACCAAATGACCCACAAGTATAATGAATAATTAGAACTCCAGTTGCACAAACCAATGTCTAAAAGATGCTTTGTTTAACTCAACAACAACTAGTTTATGTACAGTCCAACAAACACACATAAAACGTAGCTTCAAATATAGCCCTCAGCAGAAGCACAGAAATGAACTATCTAGTAGAGAAATAGTCAATGATGTATCAGATTTAAAAGAAATATAAAAACAATATTGAAAACAGAGCAGTCACAGTAGTTCTGAATCCAACTGGTAGAAACGTGGTTGACCTTGATCTTACTGCAAATATATTTTATTTATCGGACATCAATAATGAATTTCAGAATAAAAAAAAAAGTATAGAACCTTAAATGCATAAAAACGCATACCCAATTTGATCTTTTCATTGGTTTCCTCTTGAGTTTAAACATTGTTCTTCAAGCATGTAACCCAGAACTTCTAGCGATATATTTTTTTTTATTTGCAATTTTAAATTTAAAATATATGAGAGGACAACTTGGTAAAGTCCTAAGCAGATTTCCTGAGGAGATGAACGGTCTGTAAGAAAAGTTCTTAAGTCTCTGAATACAGCCATAATTACATCATGGAAGATAATGTTTTATAAGTGTGCATGTTCTGTTTAGTTCGTGGGTGTCCACTCTTTGACATCCAGCTGCTTTTAGACTATGTTACATAAGATTTTTAACCACCCCATTCCTGGCAGAGAATGATGGAATCTGTGGTTCCAGGGTTGGACATATTAATGAAGAAGAACCTACAATAACTCCCAGCCAGATGAAGAAGTTGTCTAATAAAGGTTTTTCAAACATTAATTTATTTTATTTTGTTTTCCCCCTTCACCCAAATCTTCCTAAAATGCTGTGGGCTGAATCCAGTTTAATTAATATATATTATCTAGGGTTGGACATCCCTCTTCTAGAAGAAGCATGAGGGTTCCCAGAAAAATATGTCAGTTAAAAAAATGCATGAATCTCCTAACCCACTTGTTACTTTGAAGGGGTTTCCCTGCAAATAGGCCTCAGACTATACAATTACAAAGCTCATTGGAATTACAGGAGTGGTCAATTGCCTCAACTTGCCCTTTATTGCAGGCAACCATGCTGAGAATGAAATCTAGTCTATGGTGAAACTCAACAAATAGTGCATGTATTCCAGCACAAAATGCTATAAAACAGTGATTTGATGATTGTCATAGTTGTGTCTACTGCATCATCTGGGATCCATTCCTGGGTCGTTTACTACAAACCGAGCAATTGTTCGAGCAGAGACGATTTGGTTTCTCTGCTCCAATTGTAATCTTTGCGGCATATATTTCTTCTTTAACAGCAGTTTAGAACATCAGATCAGTGTTCCCATGGAACACAATCATTAAATTTTTATACTTGAAGAATTATTAATGAGAGAAAAGCACAGGCAATGCACCTTTCACACATACTGTAAAAATGATTTACACTTTAGTTGAGGAATCATAATTTATAACAGACTTGCAACATGCCTGACCTGTTTAAAAAAAATACAATCATGCTAAAAGCACGCAAATCTCACTTTTGTTGTTCTCTTGGGGCCAGCTGGCCAGGAACTGAACATTAGATACAGACCTGTGATTTAACTCTGTAGATGAAAAAAGGATTAGCAAACTGTAGCTTTGCCATCTGTCACTCAAAAACTTAATTAGGAAACATTAAAAGGTCTATGCAAACAAAAGTCAAACTCAAGGTTTTTTGGGGCGGTAAATCAATAACTTTTATTTATTGAGGTGTTTATTATTATAATTTTTACTAATCCTGTTATACCTTCTCTTTTAAATATATTTACTAAAAAGATGAGCGGAAACTTTGGAAAATAATGCATTTGGAAATACCTATGTCCCTATTGGCAATCACTTTTTTCTTATTATTTTTTTTCATTAAGGTAGGCTCCCAATAGTGATATGTAGAAAAATATGTGACAAACTATAGATGTTTTTAACATCAGAGATCAAATGATATATTGTCATGAATGTAAAACAGCAGAGGCCTGATTGTTCCACTTATTACCTTAAAGCTAATGGCATGCATATAACAGATTGTGTTACCTAGGTGTGAAAATTTTAATTTCTAAATGTAGAAATCCACAACTCCTTATACCGCAACCGGGCACCTCCATCTAAGTTCCTTGTAAATCGTTGTTATACATTCTGTCCTTTGCACCTTACAGTCAGCATAGAGAGAAGAGGAGAAATTAAATAATGTTTCTGTTACTGTTCCTCATTTGTAATGTGTGCCCTGGCTGGGCTTAGTTTGAACCTGATTGTGATGTGATTTACTAAATCTTTACTATAAATTTTAAAGGAAAACTTAGCATCTCATGAAAAAAAAAGTTTTACACAAAATATGTGATTTTCAATATTTTTTGTTCAATGGTGCAATTTCCAGAGAAGTGACGGTACCACTTTAAACTTCAAGTTGTCTAGGTACACAAAGTGTGTGGGCTTCCCCATGCCATAAGATGATTTTGCAGATAAGGCGTAGGTAGGAAGGTCAGTCTAGGCAGTGATACATTAATATATAGATATAGAGAAGATACATTAAGTCAGGGGTTGTGGCAACCTTCAGCTTTTCAGAGGTTGTCAACTTCATCTCCCATAATGCGCATACTGTCATAAGGCTGGCAAACATCAGGGTAGATACATTTCACAATATCTGGATGGCCAAAGGTTGCCTACCCGTGCATTATGTAGCAGAATTAAGCAGCCCTTGCCTCCTTGTTTTTTCGAGTACTTTTTTAGGCAGATATCTAGTGTATGTGATAGCAAGTGCATGAACATATGTGTGATTCTCATATCCAGTCTCATATTAGAATGTAGTGCCTTAATATATTTGTGCCAATAAAACCAGGATTGATCTCTTTAGGTAAGCAATGATTTCCAAACTTCACTTGCATTCTGGGAAGGGTGAACAAGAGCATAGACAACCTGACTTCTAAACACACAGAGATTGATTGTCATGTTTGCTTAAAACATAATGATAACACTTTGAATGTATTTTTAATTTAAATTGTGATGGGGCCCAGGTTCCAAGTGTAAACCTTATAAAATACAAAACGATCAGGGATGCAGCTTGTACCACTAAAATGGAAACATGAAATACAACATAGTGTAATAAAGTTACAACTTTGAACACTCGCTTCACGTTTCAAGGTTACACTCACAAGTTGACATATTATGTCAGGCCCTCAAGGTTTTCCTTTGCTGATTATCACGCCAAATCCGGTTGTCAGGAAGTCCACACACTCCCAATGGTCGGGTACAAAAGTGTAAACCGCCTGCATGGGTTAAAATATCTAATGGGTTTCTACAGTAAGTAGTGATTTGTGGTGAAGATTAAAGCAATCTAAAGGTCGGATTTTCAACTTACAGGTAGATAAAGATCTTTGGATCACTTAACCCCTTAAAGACACAACCTCTGGAATAAAAGCGAATCATGACGGAATATTTCCGTCATGTTTCCTTAAGGGGTTAATGTTTACTTAATAAACCCTTACACCCTTAAAGAACCACGATAGCACCCAGACCACTTCAGCTCAATGAAGTGGTCTGGCTGCCAGGTCCCCCTAGTTTTAACCCTGCAGCTGAAAACATAGCAGTTTCAGAGAAACTGCTATGTTTATACTGCAGGGTTAATCCAGCCTCTAGTGGCTGTCTCTCTGACAGCCACTAGAGGCCGCTTCCACGATTTACACTGAGTAAATTACACTTATTTGACGCTGGACGTCCTCACGGAGTCCACCGTCAAATAAGATCCCCATAGGAACGCATTGGAAATTGAGTAATGCTTTCCTATGGGCGGGTTTGAATGCGCGCACGGCTCTGGCTGAGCATGCGCATTTGGCTCCACTCGTGAACTGACGTCGGCGGGAGAGGACAGGTCACCAGCCCCAGGCGTTGGATAAAGGTAAGTGGCTGAACAGGTTTTAACCCCTTCAGCACTGAGGGAGGGGGCCCCAAGGGAGGGGGGCACTCCAAGAGTCTATAGTGTAAGGAAAACAGGTTTGTTTTCCTTGGACTATAGGATTCCTTTTAACAATAAGCTTTGACAATTTGCATGCAAGACAGAGTTAAAGACTGACAAAACAATAAATTAGTAGTATGAATTAAATATCACAGGATATGATGTCCATAAGGAGGATCAAGTGAGTATAAAAAGGAAAACAAAATAAATGTTATCTGGAATGCATCGGGAAAGAGGTAAGGGTGAGGTGGCAGTCTCCAGCTGAAGGTCCTAGAATAACAAACCAATAAAAAATCTAAGGTACACACAGCTTTCACCAGTGTACACCGACCAGACTTGTCCAGTATACATTAGAATAAATCAATGGGAATTGCAGAGAATACATTTACAATGTGAATGCGGGAAGAACATATAACAAATGCTGATAGTATTAGATGTATACAGGATTGCAGGAGTTCATATGAGGATACAAAAAAATGGGCTCATGGGTAGAGCAGAGAAATTAAGCAAAATCTATTGTTAATTTATGCTCCCAAGATGCGTTTTGCAAAATTCGCAAAAGATGTAAAAGTTTCAATGCCGCGATCATAGAATCCTTGAAATTACACCACTGTTTTACAGCAGGATGCTGGCGGCAAATCTCTTCTGCATGGTCCACTTCATACTGTGTCTTATAGCAGTCTCCTGCTCAGATAGTGCTTCAGTGCAGGAGAAAATTGCTGCTTTCCAGCAGGTTGACGAAGTAATGCAATTTTCCAACATCTTAAATAATATCGAACTGTGTAATGCTAAAACACTTTTTTTTTTTTTAATGCTCTATTTTGTTTACCTTTAACAATATGAGCACTGGTGCTCATGAATATTCAAAGTTCTGATTTGGCATATAAGTAAAATTTTATTTAATTCTTAGGCATGTTTTGTCAGGTTAGCACGTAGCATGTCCTCTCAATTACAAAGTTATAGGTATTTCTCTTTCCATTTGAAGCTCCTTCCTAACAAGCATTAGTGCACTCACAAAACACCTGTTGCATCCAGATAAATCTAATAGCAATTTCATGTGTTACATTACAGAAGATAAACGTGTAAAATAGAAAGCTATAAAAGTTATCACCTGCCCGGAGTCCATGTTAACCCCCTAAAAACACTTATTCAGGGTGCTAAACTCAAATCCAATAAACAATAAATGCTCAGTAAAAGTGTCAAACGTCTTCAAGCCCCTTTTAGTGCTGTATTGGAGAGCAGCAAAGTGTATGTGTATATATATATATCTGCTGCCAAAGCAGAACAAACACATAAAAAAGTTAAATTATCTATTATAGAAAGAATACCTATTTTATGGGTTGACATAATATCCCAAAAATTAACAGGCGTGAATAGTATGTCCACTGTACAGTATTTTAGATTCCACACTTAGAGTAAACGGACAAGAGATTCCCCAGTTCCTATGTAGTGATGTCGGGAACCGTTCGCGAACTTCCCGTGAACTGCTCGCCACGGTTCGCCACGAACCGTTCGTGGCGAGCTCCTGTCACCTGACACATCCCGGCTAATCTCCAGCAGACCCTCCCTCCCAGACCCTCCCACCTCCTGGACAGCAACAATGATGCTGTCCAGGAGGTGGGAGGGTCTGGGAGGAAGGGAAGTTCGCGAACGGTTCGCAACATCACTATTCCTAAGGTCTTAATCCCCTATAGTCTACATGTGACCCAACGTCTCTGAGCACCTAGCCGTCTAATCATGAAACAAACCCGGCTTTGTCTGTGCTTTCTGTGCGTTAAAGTCAACTGTGTTTTGCTTAGATAATAATCCAGTTATAGGTGCCTGTGTCATATGTTTTAAAGCAGAGGAAGTCTGCCAAATAGTCACTTTTCTCTGGTTAAAAACATTGTTTTCTTGGCTCTCAGTAGAGCTTTTTTTTGTTTGTTTTTTTTCCTTTATAAACACCTTACGTTGTTTTTTCTGCTGTCAAGCCCATGGCATCCAAAGATCAGTTTTTGAACATTCACTGCCGAACACTAGAGTAAAGTCTGAATCTGTAGTTTATCAGGGAGATTAATGAAGAAAAAACAACTCTTGAGCAATGTGCTGAACAATGACAGACATTTTCCAGGCCTCCACGGCGATTGCTACTTATCAAGTATTTTTCCCAGAATACCACCTCATTTTGCATTAGTAAATCTCCCCCCTTGTCTACAAAGGTAGAACAACAGCAAACCCTGCTGTCATCAGGTCTTCTCAAAAACCACAATGGCTCCCCGTTTACACTCAGATTTTTTTTGTGGATTACATTTCTCAACCTAAAGACAGATGGCTGTGCATCATGGGGAATTTATTTCACAAACATAAATTGCTGGGATAAACTCATTGTTTATTATTTCAAACACAGTACTTTCCACTTATACGTTTAATTCATTTTAGCTTTTCACACTTCTGAGATTGCTAGAATTAATACAATTATTGGATAATAATATCTACAACTAGTAAAAGGTAAATGTATCCATCTTACTTGAATGCCCGGTTTAGACCTCAGTTAGATAAGGTAGACCTTAGAATTTTATATTTTTTATTTAGTCTGTATGTACAGTATACAAAAAAATTGTTCAGCTTTCGAGATGTTGTGTTTACCCTATAGTTAAAATATTTTAACAAATACAATTTTTTATGTTCAAAACAACTTAAGTACTTTATAGCTATTATACCGTATACTGCATAAATACCTCTAAATTCCCTTTATCTGACCATAGAGGCACAGGCCAGTCTAACCTCCCATCTCAAACATACACATCATTGCACTTAATACTTCACATGAAAAAAATTATTGCATAATAAAAAAACAAAGTGCTCCACCTAGTGGAGAAAAGGTGCAACAGCTGACTTGTCTGTACGGAAATCCAGCCTATGCCTATAGTATTCAAAAAGCTTTTATACGCTATGACATATAATAAACACACTTTCAGCAACTGCAGTGCAGAGGTGATGTTGTTCAGAAACCCGAATGCACATGTTCTTGTAAGATCAATTGTAGCAGCAGGCCGTTTTTAAAATAATCACTTACTAGTTATTTAAGGCTGTGCAACGTCACCCCTATCAGCAGGCACAAGGTAGAGTTTTGAAGAGATAAAATGATTCCTCACTATTAATTCTTCCCTTTGTAGCACGCTATGAATATAAGAGTGACTTGAGTATTTCCAATAATGAAATGGTTAATTGTTGCTGTGGGAGTTTTCACAAACCACAAATGCTGATATAACTTTGAGCAAATAAAAGAAAATGTTCTAGGAAAAAAATTTTGTGAACTAATTATAGAAAATGTGAGCCAGACTTCAAATAAATTCCTGGAATCTATTAATATATTGCCTTTTTTCTTTTTTTTACATAAGCCTTTCACAGTTTAGTTCCATGTGGTACATCTTAAAATGCATTACGACATTTGGATGTTTTTTCTTCAGGAACAGTACACGGATGTCAAATAGCAGTCACTGAGTGCCACAGGAGATGCAAGATTCCAAAACAATACGCAGTGTTGCACAGTGATTGTCAGTGTTAAAGAGGATTTGCCTTGTTTCTGTTTTTTGATGTTAAGTAAGAATCATGGGCAACTGGATTACCCATAATGCTCAGCCAAACATCTGGCTACCATCATTGATATATATTGTTGCCCCCCCAGATGTTTTGAACTACAACTCCCATGATTCCCTAGCAATCAGCCATAATTCCCTAGCTATCTGTTTCATTTAAAAAAAAAAAAACCTGGGCGTTCTCTGTTTTATTAAATGAACCTTGGGCATTGGCTATATGTTTTATCCAAAGAATCATGAGCGTGGGGGTAGCTCAGGTTGTGCAGGCCTGCGTTAGACTTTTCTACTACCCAGTTAGATAATCGGACCCCCTAAAGCAATTAACTGGAGTTATATCCTCTGGCATGCCAGTTTTACCAAAATTGCTGCTCTTCCACTGGCTAAGTTCATCATTACTGATGATCTAGCCAATCCAATGCTTCCTTTTAAAGAAGCATTGTGAGGCTAGTGCAATCGCCATGACGCACCTATAAGAAACTTCACATAGAGATGCATCTCTATGGGTATTTGGTGTTTCCATGCAGATTATGGAGATGCCGAACACTGGTCTTGCAATCTTTGCAGGACTGAAACCTGGTCAGAGTACCAGCAACTTAAAGTGGACACAGAAGGGAATGTATACAATGCCTTTTCTTTTAGAAGGGCATGGTTTACACAGCAGAGACTGTAGTATATTTGACCCTTAACCACTACATTAAGCTGTAGTAGTTCTGTTGCATAAAGTGTCCCTAAATTAGCAGCATTTTTTCTTAAATGTTGATGATTGTTGCATTTTAGAGTCATTTATATGCTTTTGCAGTTGCCATTTTCTAATATAATATGTCTATAACCTAAGACTGTGCATGTCCAAGCCCATGTTTAAAAAGGTTTTTACACAATGCTAAATTGTTACACAATGCTAAATTGTTCACTTGTAAAAAAGCAATATCTAAGTGTAGGCAATTATTTTGTTTACAACGTTAACAGAAGCCAATCTATTAGAGAATCCATGACTGGTTGCCGGTCAGAGAGAGCAAGAATGGAAAATACTGAAATCCACCAAGTACACTGCGCAAAATTAGATATTTTTTCCTTTACACATGAGCTTGCACTCTAATGGCAGTTTCTGTGCTGCTAACCACCTTGACTTGTTATTTAAATGTACAGTAGTATTTGGTACAGAAAGCAGGTACATTTTATGTTAAAGGGTATAGCATTCATTGGCAATCATAGCATGTCTATGATTTTAGTTTTGTTTTATATATGCTTTGAGGCTGAATACTACAGCCTTGCTGCATCCCAAGAGTGGGAGTTTGACAGGTTGAAACGTAATCATTTAATGCTTTAAGGAATAAGAGACGATTTACTGATTTCATATATATACCTCGATGTTGTCTGTTGACTGGTGATAGTAGCCCAGTTTCATGTGGACTAGCATCACCGAGAATGTATGGGAGGTAACTTGGGCAAAAAAATAATGGATGTGAGTGGATATTTTAACATTTAATGACATGACTTTGTATCCACCACAACCACTAAACAAAAAAAGCAATGTTGGCAAAAGGGTTCCATGCAATATGACAACGCCAGTTCTACTTGTAATGGTTCCAGTGGCTGGGTGGGGACTGTTGCTCGTAAATTTATTTCCCCAGTTCTTCATCGTCTTTTTTAGGTCTGAGCTCTCTTAGCAGCTGCTAAGCACAAATTTATTCAACTGCAATATTATCTGACCATGATGTCCTTCATTACAGTGGGCCTTTGGGGAGCAATGCTAGTAAACTGTATTATGACAACATTAAAGTCTTTGAATAATACAATTGAGCAAGTGATGTTGGTAATTTGTATGTACTCATACTAAAATCCCATAAATTCGCTGCCAAAGTATGTTATTCCAAGCAGAACACATTTGGCTCGTATTGACATAGCATACATCTTGCTGGGTCAGTGTGGCAGTCCCATGACTTTTTACAAGTTAGAGTGCAAGAGATTTATCATCAAGAGATGATGCAACGTTAGTGTCTTTGCACCGATTCCAGATGTTTTTCTTAAAAGAACAAATCCTGATCCTAACATGGCCCTTAAAATAATACTGCGTCTGTTGCTTTAAATGGGCACGTCGTGAAGATATTAATGCAAGGTTGGCTGTTATGACGTTGGCTCAGTTAAGGGCTAGAATAATAAGCTGTGACAGCTATAGCAAAAGATGTACAAACCTCCTGCTGTGGATTTTCTTCTTTTTTTGTGTGTGTGGCTTTTTTGGCAGTAATACAAAATGGCTGAAAGAAATTGTGTTTAGTAAAACCATTTTAAACTAATTATCATTAGTGATCCATTTCATTTCCCCCGCATTTTCATAAGCTATAATAAAAAGCTACTGCATGCTTTTTTATTTTTTTTGCTGAAAGGGAAAAGAAGGAATATAGTTTAAAGAGGCATTAATATTAACATCTAAATTATTTTCAATATTAAAGTAATTTAAATAATTAATTTGAATTAATCCAATCTTCTAATAAAATGTAATTTTACATTTATAAGGTGTCTACCCCCGAATCACCTAAATGTACTGAAAGCTGTGCCAACTGTAAGTTATCTGGCCTGGCATGCTAATTTTTTTAATTTATTTTTTAAATACATTTTACAGCCTGATTTTGAACAGCCAATATACACTGACACGTACTGTATGGTTTTTGTTCATTATATAATAGAAGAGGTGCGACTCAACAGATTGGGACATTTTGCAAAGACAGCATTTAACTTACTTATGTATTTTCATATACCCACACTCTGAGCTGTGCTGTTACAGTGAGGGGAAAAAGTATTTGATCCCCTGCTGATTTTAAACGTTTGCCCACTGACAAAGAAATGATCAGTCTATAATTTTAATGTTAGGTGTATTTTAACAGGGAGAGACAGAATAACAAAAAAAAAATCCAGAAAAACGCATGTCAACAAAAGTTATAAATTGATTTGTATGTCAATGAGTGAAATAAGTATTTGACCCCTTCAACTTAGTACTTGGTGGAAAAACCCTTATTGGCAATCACAGAGGTCAGGTGTTTCTTGTAGTTGGCCACCAGGTTTGCACACATCTCAGGAGGGATTTTGTCCCACTCCTCTTTGCAGATCCTCTCCAAGTCATTAAGGTTTTGAGGCTGACATTTGGCAACTCGAACCTTCAGCTCCCTCCACATATTTTCTATGGGATTAAGGTCTGGAGACTGGCTAGGTCACTCCAGGACCTTAATGTGCTTCCTTTTGAGACACTCCTTTGTTGCCTTTGCTGTGTGTTTTGGGTCATTGTCATGCTGGAATACCGATCCAAGACTCATTTTCCATGAGGAAAGGAGGTTCTCACCCAAGATTTGACGGTACATGGCTCTGTCTATCATCCTTTTGATGCGGTGCAGTTTTTCTGTCCCCTTGGCAGAAAAACACCCACAAAGGATAATGTTTCCACCTCCATGTTTGACGGTGGGAATAGTGTTCTTGGCATCACAGGCAGCATTCCTCCTCCTCAAAACACAGCGAGTTGAGTTGATGCCAAAGAGCTTGATTTTGGTCTCATCTGACCACAACACTTTCATCCAATTCTCCTCTGAATCATTCAGATGTTCATTGGCAAACTTCAGACGGGCCTGTACATGTTCTTTCTTGAGCTGGGGGACCTTGCAGGCACTGCAGGATTTCAGTCCTTCACGGCATTGTGTGTTACCAATTGCTTTCTTGGCGACTATGGTCCCAGCTGCCTTGAGATCATAAACAAGTTCCTCCAGTGTAGTTCTGGGCTGATTCCTCACCATTCTCATGATCATTGAAACTTCACAAGGTGAGATCTTGCATGGAGCACCAGACTGAGGGACACTGATAGTTATTTTGTGTTTCTTCCATTTTGCGAAAAATCGCACCAACTGTTGTCACCTTCTCACCAAGCTGCTTGGCTATGGTCTTGAAGCCCATTGTGTAGGTCTACAATCTTATCCCTGACATCCTTGTACACCTCTTTGGTCTTGGCCATGGTGGAGAGTTTGGAATTTGATTGATTAATTGCTTGCTTCTGTGGACAAGTGTCTTTTATACAGGTAACGAGCTGAGATAAGGAGCATTCCCTTTTAGAGAGTGCTCCTAATCTCAGCTCGTTACCTGTATAAAAGACACGTGAGAGCCAGAAATCTTGCTGATTGATAGGGAATCAAATAACTATTTCACTACTTGACATGCAAATCAATTTATAACTTTTTTGACATGCATTTTTCTGGATTTTTTTGTTTTGTTATTCTGTCTCTTACTGTTAAAATACTCCTACCGTTAAAATTATAGACTGATCTTTTCTTTGTTAGTGGGTAAACATTCAAAATCAGCAGGGGATCAAATACTTTTTTCCCTTCACTGTATAAAGGAGCAGGTGCAGTAATTGCAGGAAAGGGAAATACAGGTTAACAATCAGAAAATATAAATCCACACTTCTAACTCAATCAAATGCATCCGCAACACAGTAGGCATTCAGATTCACTCTGTCTAGCTAATTGTCCATCTATCCATCCATTCATCCATCCATCCATCAATTTATCCATCCATCATGTTTAGTATATTTTTATGAAATACAAACATATTTGTATATATTTAATTTCTACTTGCTTTGAGATCTACGTTCCTTTTTCTTGTTCATATTATGAGAGGAAGCAGGCAGAGGAAGAAAGTGACAGTCACTGCACCAAAAGTGGATTCATTAAAATGAATAGCATTTGCAGGTTGGGTAGCATCTGCAGGTTGGGTAGCATCAGCAGGTTGGATAGCATCTGTAGGTTACATAGTTACATAGTTACATAGCTGAAAAGAGACTTGCGTCCATTAAATTCAGCCTTCCTCACATATGTTTTTGTTGTTGATCCATCGGTTGGGTAGCATCTGTAGGTTGAGGGAAAGCCCATGAAGAACATTCATCTGCTCAAAACAGAATGATATTACCTACAGGTTATAGCAACTAGTTCTCTGACCAAGGTTAGAAATAGCACTGTGTATATACACACAAACAAGAATGTATTTGTTAGATAGGTTTGTATATATCTATATATGTAAAAAAAGACTTGTGCACTGTGTCCTCACTTTGCTAGATCAGCGGTTCATGCTAAACTAACTTATCATGCTGCCGGTAAGTATCATGCTTACCTTAACACATTCCTGAGCAAAATCTTTCTCTTTAACATGCTATTTATAATTTAAAAATAATAACGTAATTATTAAAGTGTAATTATTGGTTATAGAGCCTTCACAGGCAATGGAACATTCCTACAATTTGCTCTACTTTTTGAGATTTTCCCCCAAATCATTCTTTGTACTTAAGTCCAGTCCTATCTGTGGAGTTCTAAGCGCAGTCCACGTGATAAAAATTCTCCCAGTAACGTATTGACATTAACCACACTGTATAGAAGTGCTAAATGGAAAACATATTTTAAGTACCGTAAATGCTTTATGGTGAATTTTAACTGCACTATATACATCACTGTCAGTCTACTATTAGTAGCAAAAGAACAGCGATGGCAGTTTAATGAGAAATATCATTCACTGGATTCCAGTTTAGAAAACACATAAGCAGCAATAAACAGAGCATGCAAAAGGATAACTTTGACATGTTTTAAATATTATCAGCAAATCAGGAATTTCAGTTGATACATCTTTCATTCCAATAGGCAAACATTGTATGAAATGAAGTGTCAATAGATCATGATGCACAGAGCTCCCTGTTACTGTGTCATTTCACCTAATGACTTGGAAACGTTGCGGCGTCCAAAAAACTGTCCCATGGGTTAGTGATGTTAAAGAGTGAATGTTACTTTCTCTGCTGTCCAGGATCTGTCCAGTTTGCACATGCACTTTGGGCAGACACATGTAGAGCACACATTTCCCTCCTTTCTCCTGCTCTGGTGGTAGGCCGAGCTATTCCTGTACGCAAGTAGCCTATTAGCAGAACACTGCAGGCAGCCTGGTTCAATGTGTGCAGAGCAGCATGGCTGCCGCATAGCTGCTAACAGTTTATTGTGATTATTAACCTCTACTTTTTTAATGGAAAAAGAGAAAAATCTTAGACTAAAAAGAGAGGCTCCTGACCAGGAAAGCCTATTATTGATATGGTGGTTGCCGGACGGGGCATTTTCACTTTGAAAGTGCAAAAGCTTCAGAAATATTGAATGTATTTTTCACTTTTTTACATTTTTTTTTTTATTTATGCTTTTATATAATTTTTTTCCCTTTAAATTAAACTTCTGTCACACTACATCTAACTCCTGGAAATCTACCCCATTGGGCAGTTAGTAGTCTTTAATATGTTTTGCCAATCTCTGCTACCTGATATGCATACCCATAATACTTACCAACAGAGAGCGAAAACATATTTTGATTGGTTGCTCATTTTCTATTTAAAAAAAAAAAGTTCTTTATTTACAAAAAGGTGTGTATGTTGAGATCCACACGTGTATGACAAGGTCCGTTTCTGATAAGCAATAAAATATAAGGTACTAGTTAATTATAGTCCCACCAGTCAGGGCAACCATTATCATTGTCATAACAAGTGACTGGTATTCTCATATTCTTATAATTAACAGACGTCAAAGATAATCTCCAGAGTGTGCTATTTTAATTGTACCTACATCAATTCAATTCTGCTTTTATATAATCATTTCTTCCTTGGCTTCTAACATAATTTATGTGTGCCTTGCTCACTCCCATAAGGCACTTGGCTTGAATCCAGAAAATCAAGGCAAATAGAATTTTTGCATTTTTTCACTAAGCCTCATCGAGCCCACTGCTGTGGTATATATGTCTGTATTGTATATTGCAATTTCAACAGAATACAGGTCTAAACTCTTATTTGTAGCAAACACAAACATGTCAAAATGTTGCTATAGCAATTTGCATTATATAATTTCTTACATTCAAAAGATGCATTAGTAAATCTCTAGAAAACTTGACCTGTATAACACTGTTATATTTACACAAAGAACTCAAGCTAACAAAAACATGAAAAAAATAGCAATTAATTGACGTCTGAGAAATCAGTTGCCTTCATTGGCTAAATGCATTATTGTAATTGTTCTTGGATATTATGAGAACTCTGCAGTTGATTATTATTGTAAGTCATACAAGGTCAATGAACATATGAAGGTTATTCAGATTATTTGATTAACTTTGCAATAAATTCCTTACATACAATCCATTGTTGTGTTTCTCTTGGTTAAAGGGGAGCTGTCACTGCCCAGATTTTTATAATAGAGTGTTTACTAATCCCCTATATTTAACTACTATATGTATATAAGGTCTGAAATAAAATTAAATTTAGAAATCCATGCCACTATATGTAGATGTATTTAGGAAAGATTAAAAAAAAAAAAAAAGGTCCAGGTATTTCAAACCGCAGCAAGACAAATTTAATTAAACCAAGTACACAGCAATGTTTTGACCCTATAATTGGTCTTTGTCAAGCTTGTAGTTTTGAAATGTGGTGTGTACTTGGTTCCCCTACAATGTGTCTTTGTCAAGCTTGACAAAGACCCATTGTGGGGTCAAAAAGTTGCTGTGTACTTAGTTCCCTTACAATGAGTCTTTGTCAAGCTTGATGAAGACCCATTGTAGACTTGATACATTGCTATGTACTTGGTTCCCCTACAGTTGGTCTTTGCAAAGCTTGATGAAGACCCAGTGTAGTTTTGAAACATGGCGTGTACTTGGTTCCCCTACAATGGGTATTTGTCAAGCTTGACAAAGACCCATTGTGGGGTCGAAACATTGCTGTGTACTTAGTTCCCTTACAATGGGCCTTTGTCAAGCTTGATGACGACCCATTGTAGTTTTGAAACGTGGTGTGTACTTGGTTCCTCTACAATGGGTATTTGTCAACCTTGGCAAAGACCCATTGTAGGGTTGAAATGTTGCTCTGTACTTGGTTCCAATATATTTGCCTTACTGAGCTTTGGAGTGCCTGGACCTTTTTTTTCTCTTTCCTGAATACAATATTGTGTGGGGATTATGCTAGTCTCTGGTTTGGTTACACTCAATTGTTGCTTTTTTGAATGAGTGCAGTTCCTTAATTTTTCTTATTGTATTTAAGTATGTCCTGGACATAAGCAGCTCCATCTTGGCTCCCTGTCAATTTTTATAATTTCTCTTCTCTGCATATGTCAGTTAGTACAGAGAAAGGAGGTGTCTACTAGACTGCACAAACAAATTGTGATTTGTCCAGATTTTGGGCTAACAGTGAGTCCGAACTCCAAAACACCAAATCACAAAACAATCAAAATGAGTAATGAACGAGTCATTTGGTTTGTTTTGTGATTCAGAGTTCTGTCCATGGTGGAATTTGTTTCTTTTAAAATTGATTGATGGAAAAAAGATGACTGATGACTAGAGGATAGCCACTAAGTGTTGATTTTATTCACAGATTAAGTGAGAGGTGATGAACAGAACGAAACAAAAAAGCAGGAGTAGTAAAAAAAAAATCGGCATTTTAAAATTTCATAAAAATATAATGTATAAATATAGATTTTTTTATTTTACTGATTCTCCTCTTTTGTTTTCTTTATGCGTTACTTCTTCTTACTTGAACTGTGAACCAAATGGAGCAAAAATGCTGCAAAATATAGACAAACTACTTACATTTTGCAGTAAACTGATTGACCAACTTTTGCACACTTTTGGTTTGTCCAAAATTGCTTTCCCAAAACAATACAACAGGTGCACTAGATATGCCTGGACTGAACTGGATTTTGATGTAATTTGCTCAATCTTTAAAATACATTTAAAGACAACAGAGCATAACATGAGCGAAAAAAAGTAAAAAAAAAAAATGGGAAAAAAGTTAATAGAAGTTGTAGGTGATTTTAAATGTTTTATTTGATGGTGTGAGTTCAAGAATAGTGACGGTTCCCCTTAAACTCTTAAAAAATTTCATGTGAACATTGATCACACTTAAATTATATTCACCCCAAATCGTGAAATATCTGGAACATAGCAGGTGTCTTCAAAAGCAATGTATTAATATTTAAATGACATGCATTTGCATTTGTACATAGTAATGTATATGCCTTGACGTACACACAGAGACCAGTCAAACTGACATTTCTTTTATTCTCTATCAAATAGATACAGTTTGCATGATCATTTTATTTATATTGATATTATAAGCAAATATCTGCAAAAGAAACTTGATGTACTGTGAAGGACATAATCCGATAAAGCTTTTTTTTTTTCATTTATTATCTCATCAGAATGTGGTGCTGTAAAAAAAAGAAAAAAGAAAAAAAAAGTGTAGACAAATTTCTAAACCTGTATAATTGATATTATGTTTTTATATACTATATGAGGACAATTATTAAATTAATGATAGTTAATTACATATGTATGTTAAAAGAAAACTCTTTCAATAAAAATTTATTTTGTGTTTTCTTTCTAATGTTCAATTGTTTAAAATGTTTACGAACTGTAAGCCTATTATATCATTTCTATAATCTTGATTGTTTAATGTATACTCTATAAAAGTGGATGATATAATTGTATATTTGATGACTTGTAAATATATCTCTGGATACTTCTTGCCCTTCTGAATATTTAAAGTGATAAACCGTTAGAATCTCTGGTGTATATTCACATTCACCAGCAATAAATTGCTTCAATGTTTGTGGCTGTTTACTGGAAATTGAAGACATCTGAGCTTTGGGGCCTGATAATGAAACAACAGAGAAAATATCAAAAGGATGGTTCAGTGACAAAGGAATCATCCGGGGGTTGTTACATAGTAACTCACACATTAAAAAGATTACAGAACACACTAAATCACTTTTCACAACCCGTATCCATACTTATATATAAATGCTACCCTAGTACTGCCCATTCTTAAGATATCCTTAAAAAGACACTGCAGTTTAGGAGTTATACTGCCAATAAAAACATGAATGCATTTAACTGTGCATTATTTGATTAAGGGTATATCTAGAACAGCTTGCAAATGCTTCAGATCTCTTTTCTGCAACATTTGCAAGTCCTCTTCTAGCCCAGCTCAGACGTTCTGTGGCTGTTCAATTACAGACCTACCAATGCAGTGCAATAAGAAGCCTTTGTAAGGCAGGTGCTCTGGGCTATTGCTGACTCTTGAGCTCTTGAGTTTAGCTCTACTGAGCTAAGCATCCAGGAAGTAAAATGACCAGTTGCCCAATTGACAGCCAAGAGGGTGTAACAAAGATAATTTATAATAGTGCCAATTTATACTGAACAAAAGTAAACACACTCTTCACACATAATGTACTTCAGTAAGCTGAAGTGCTTTAGGGGTTGGGAGAGTCCTTTTAACCACAAATTTGCAGATTATGCTTTTGAGATGGGATGGTATTTGTAGTTATATAAAATATACCTAGTCCCAGATCTACAATTGTATTAATTCCATTTAGAAAAATTGTTCTGATATAGTTATCTATTAGGAGGCTAGAGAATTCTGAATTGAATTTGAGGGACTTGCAACCTAAATGTGTTACTAAATAACTATAATCCCTGTTCCCCATCATGTGCTAATAGGAGTGGCTTAGTGTTGTACAGAGTACGTCAACCAATCCACTGCTCTCTCCTACCACTGTGTATAGTAAAGGTTACAATAAATAGAAATTTTAACAAAAACTCATCCGATTTAACAAAACTTAAAAAAAAACAAAAAAACTATCTTTGGATATGAAATGAATGGTTCCAATGTGTGATTTCGCATGCATGAACATATTGAAAGGTTTGTACGTAGGGACAATAGAAGGAAATAAATGTGTGATACATTCAAAAAGTTGTGCAGTTACCATGGAAACCAGTGGAATGTTGCTACTTGTTGCTTCACTTGCCCAAGAAATGCTCCTTCAAGAAGAGGTAGATTTATAACTACTGAATTGTGGGGAATGTTTTCATCAGATCATTGCTGTTAGTCTGAATGTCTAGAGATAATTATTGACAGTGATCTAAGAACATCTAATACACACTTGGTCATACAGAACAAGATGAATGTGGCCTGAGTACCATTTTATTTAACTTTAAAAATATTTTTAAAACAACTTTCAATTATTATTAATATTTACAGTAAGTACACGTATCATAATTAAATAAAAGTGTTTGTAAACGAGTTTATGCAGCTTAAACACAAGTTAGTAATGAAAACCAGCAGGTTTGCTTTGTAATGTTTTGATGTTGGTGTATCGATACTCTCCTTTGTCTGTGCATTTGCTTGTTGTTCATATTTAGATTGCTTAATGTCCTACATTCATGCTGCAATGAGACTTTGTAGCTGATATATTGTGAAGATGAAATTCTAGACCCACAATAGAAACATAATTAAGTCCTGAGATTGCCTCTGCTCGTGGGGCCCCAACTTGCATGTGGATATAATTTAACTTTTCTAGTTTTTAATTATTATGCTTTCCTTCATTATGTTATTTCCTTCACCATCTTTAATTCCCATGACTCCACTTATCTAATGTGTCTCTTTATCCACACTAGCCAATTTCTTACTTTCTCAAATATAGCTAAACAATCTTAGCCCACAAATAAACTCTATCTATCTATCTACCTACCTATCTGTCGATAGGTCAATCTATCTGTCAATCTATCGATCTGTCTGTCTGTCTCTCTGTCTGGCTATATCTGTATCTATATCTATCTACAGACATCTACCATATATTCCCAAGTTTTCATTCACAAACATCCTGGTGTGTTAGGTTTAATTCATTTCAAAATACAATTCATCCAAATTTTAGTCCATCAAGACACAACCTTATTTACATTCAAATACCTCAATATTTTTCAATGAAAAAAAACTAGTATTCCTAAATACTCTGTACTACCCATCCACACAACTACACTTCTCAACTTCTCACGCAAGGCTAAACCTCATCTAGTTTACCTATGTCTTTTTCACAAGTAGGATTGGTATTGGGAAACTGTACAGAAGCAAGCAGATGCTTGGTAAACACAGGAAGAAATGAGGCAAATGAGCTTTGACATCTAAGGACATATATCTCTAATAATCTAGTATCTATTATCTATCTAGTATATTTCTGTCTGCCTTTCTGTCCAATTAGATCTAAAATGTTCTTTTTTTTTTACATTTATATATATCTTAGAGAACTTGTGTGAAATATTATTTACCACTCATCAGGAATATTAATCTCGATATTTTTTGATCTGGTTGACTTTAGTTATTTAAGAATAAAATAATAACCATATTATGCAATACAGTATATTTAACAGTACAACATTAATGAGGAGTACAGAAATGAGTATTATTCATTCAAGCCACATCATTATAAGCTTTTTAATCAAACAGTGCTAGCTATGTGTGTGTGATATTCAGAGTTCAGCCATAGAGCTGTCATGTATGTCCACTTTAATTAGGACAATTATAAGACCTCTACGCTAGCTAACGTGGCAGAGATCAGATACAAAATCAAAAGGAATACAATATAAGAATAATGTGGAAATTCATAGCAACATTAGAAAACATAACATCAAAAAGATACACACATACATATATACATCAATCAACATACATATAGTTCTATACGCTGCCAAATGTAACCTGTCATCAACAGATTTGTTTTAATGGTGTGTACAAAAATAACTAGGAACAAACAGAAAAGAAGCTTTTGGTACATGTATGCAGATAATGAGAGTTGGAGGTATATTCACTTAATAATGTATTGTGGTGGGTTGATGGGAAAATACACTGATCAGTGAATAGATATCTGAATCTCTGTCCTGCTAATCTTTCACTGAATGTACATTGTTCTACTTTAGAACACGGACGTGCAGATCTGTATAGATAGATAGGTAGACAGACAGAAAGATAGATGGATAGACGGATAGATAGACAGGTAGATAGATGTCCCATGTTTTTTTTATGGAAAATCAGAAAAAGACAATTATTATATTATGACAGACACTATATATGTTACCTTTATCCCTGGTATTTATTAATATATTATAATCTTATAAAATACATTGAATCGGGTTGATACAGACAAGGTGCTAATTCTATACAATCCCATAACACTCACAACACTGTGATCATGCATTTTGGCAGGACAGACGATGAGTGACATACAGCATAAACCCTGTTTTTGAATACGGTACCTTATTTTGTATTGTATTGGAGCACTGAATACATCTACAATACAAACAATAAAGGTGCTTTGGAATCTCAATTCCATTTGGTTACCAAGACACAATGATAAAGTGACATTATCAACATTTCACTTAAGCTTGGGTGTATAAATCTGATATACAGTATTCCGTCACTTTCCGAGGTAGGCCCCAGAGCACTTTTTTCATGCTTCCATTTTCATGATTTAAAGTGGTGTTCAATCCATGTTACTTAGTTCATAGTTCTGTTTCATAGGTAAAATTCCCAAAGACCTCCCTTTGCAATTGGCTGCAGCAAGGCTGCCAGACATGTGTGCACCATCACTTTTATACACATTTCCCAGGAGATTGTTAAGAAATACTCTCCTCTGCAGGTGGAGTCAGTGCAGATCTGTTCGTTGAGGCCTGTTCTCCTCTGCATCTGGGTCACGACATGTGCATTCATCGTCTTCACACTCAGAGGCAAATGGTACTACCTGACCCTGAATTGCAAAGAAAAGAAACATCAAGAGTACTATTATTGAATCACTGCTATGGTTTTGTCTGCTTGCAGAGGTATTCACTAATGTAAGAATTATTTTAAATTTTAAGTTAACTGAAAGTGAATTTCAAATTTAAAGGGACACTATAGATGCCAAAACAACTTTCGCTTAATGAAGCGGTCTTGGTGTATAGACCATTTCCCTGCAGTCTCATTGCTCAATTCTCTGCCATTTAGGAGTTAAATCATTTTGTTTATGTAGCCCTAGGCACACCTCCCTGCATGTGACTCAGCCTTCCTAAACACTTCCTTTAAAGAGAGTCAGCTTATGTTTACATTTCCTTTACTGCAAATTCTGCTTAATTTAAAATGTCGTATCTCCTGTTCTGTTAATAGCTTTGTAGACCCTGCAGGAACCTCCTGTATATAATTAAAGTTCAAAATACAGGGCAAGAGTTAAAACTATTTAAAGTTAGTTACATGTGATTGAAAATGAAACATTTTGCTTTCATGTAGGCTGTGTCAGTCACAACCAGGGGAGGTGTGGCTAGAGCCGCATAAACAGAAACAAAGTGATTTAAATCTTAAATGGTATAGAATTGAGCAGTGGTACTTCAAATGCATGATCTATACACAAAAATTGCTTTATTAAGTTAAAGTTGCTTTGATGCCTATAGTGTCCCTTTAATGTTGAATTCCATGCAATTGTTACTTGTAAATAGCTCTTTGTGACATTTTGATTTTGTCCTTTTAAAATTTCCAGAACATCTGATAAACCATTGAGCTTTTGTTCCTCTAGGTTAGAACATAAAACTATTCTTATTTACATGGTCTCTGTCATTGAGGTAACTGGGGTGAATGCTAGTCCTGATTCCAGGTTGGTTCTAAATAGTGATACATCATTCTCTTTAAGCCTCTTGTGTGCCAATCAACATTGAGACAGTTAACACAGGAATCTCTTGTATGTCTTTAGAATCATCAGCTTCTATGGAAATTGCAGGGTGGGTATGTTATACAATTTCTATCCTACAGCGTAATACAGTAGTGAATTTGTTATTCAAAGTGAATTTAAAATATAACGGCACAGTAGCCAAAGAGAAAGCATAGCTGAGTTAAGAGTTTTTAGAATTTTTCCAGTTTGGCTGTTTTGATCTTAAATTTAAAATTCACTCTGAATTCACCTTGAATCCTCACTTTAGTGAATAATCCAGTTTGCTGTTTTACTGCTTTGTGTTTACAAGGATCACTGATTGCATATAATATATGTACTATTCATTTTTACATTTTTATTAAATAAAGCAATATTTCATTTTACTAATCTGTCAGCTTTCACATACCTAATAAAATAAAAAAACATTAATGCATGCATGCAAAAAAAGTAAATAAAATAAAAGTCTGCTGTTACATTATGACAGTTATTTAAAGCTGCGTTTATAGGTAATTAGTCCATTAGCAAATAAAATTCATTATGTCTGCCCGTTTGTGTATTCTCAAATTCACACTGGATTATGTTGATGAGTTAGCAAATCCATTTTTGTGATGTTTATTTGCAAATTAGAAAAACACTGCAATTGATAACCCCTTAGCTAATTAGCATGATGCACAGATGGACATTTCTGGACCTGCTTCCACATACAGGTCACAGTTATTTGTACACTTAATATATTTATATTAACTCATGAAAGATTACTGAGAAACTACCATAATGTTCTTTTCTTAAATTCATACAGGGCTTTTCACTAAACTCAAGAATTCAAAGTGAATTTTAAATTTAAAGGAGCACTATAGGGTCAGGAACACAAACATGTATTCCTGACCCTATAGTGTTAAAACCAGCATCTAGCCCCCCTCCTCCTCTCATACGCCCCTTGCCTCCCTAAATATAGTAAAATACTTATATTCAAGCCTGCAGCTGCTGCCTCTGCTCCTGATCTGCCTGCTTGGCTAACATCATCAGAAGTGATTCTGAGAGCTAATTACAATGCTTTCCCATAGGATTGGCTGAGACAGCCAAGGAGGAAGATCAGGGGCAGAGCCCTGGCCAATTGGATCAATGTACC